GCGTAGATGGCCAGGTCAGGTATTGTCTTCAGCTTACTGCTCGAACTCCAGAGGAGTTATAATTATGATACATAAGTCTATTCATTTGCGCATTGATAAAATTACAAAAGACCCCAAAGGTAGATTTTTGATTGTACAGGGAAATATTCTATCAACTCGGATTATTCTGATTAATGTATATAGACCTATCGAGGATAACGCAGATTTTTATAATGATTTATTTTTGAGAATCTCCATATTGCCCGGAAAACACATTATGGCAGGTGATTTCAATTGTGTCTTGCAGCCCAGTAAGGACCGGTCATCTGGGGTTGATAACACATATGTAAGTTCTAGAAAAGCTTTACAATACTTTATAAAGGAACTTAACCTGGTGGATATATGGAGGGCTCAAAACCCAACAAAAAGAGAATATTCATGTTGTTCGAGTACTTCTAAAGGATACTCAAGAATAGATTATTTTCTGATTTCAGCTGAACTAATTTCATGTATCAGAAATTGTCAATATAGTAGTATTCTTATCTCAGACCATGGCCTTGTATCTTTGACATATGTCGAACCAAAGCTATCTCATAATCGTACTAAATGGAGATTTCAAATACACTGGATGCAAGACAAAGGATTTCTAGAATTTGTAGGGGAACATATTGATGATTATTTTGAACATAACAATACCCAAACATCAGCTATAATCAGATAGGAAGCATTTAAAGCCTTTATACGAGGAGAAATTATAAGCTATACGAGCAGGAAGTCAAAAGAGAAACAGGAGAAATATAAAACACTTGAAACAAAAATTCGCTTACTCGAGGAAAAAAGTCTACAAGCAGACCAAAATACTGATAATGTTTTAAAAGAATTGCTATTGTTAAGAACCCAATATAATGAAAAAAACACATGAAAAGCAGCGGCCAATTTATTAAAATTAAAGCAGCAATTTTACGATCAGGGAGAAAAACCAGGCAGACTTCTTGCTTGGCGTATGAAACAACAGGAGTTAGAAAGAGCAATTACTAGTATTGAAGATGAAAATGGAAATATGACTGTAGATCCATTGGAAATTAATAAAACGTTTAGAAACTAACGTAATTAATTGCTCTGAATGTAAGGCCACGACTGATGCCCCTCACGTTTCTTGATAATCTCAACATTCCTAAAATATCTGAAGAACTTAAAATTAAATTAGATGGTGATATTACGACAAATGAAAATATGGAGGCTATACAAACATTAAAAGGTGGTAAAACAGCAGGACCTGATGGCCTGCCCATCGACTTATATAAACATTTCAGTGATTAAAATGGTTAAGGCACTCTATGATATGTATATAGAATGTTATAATAGTGTCTGTCTTCCTAACTCTATGAGAGAGGCTTTGATCATTCTTTTACCAAAACCAGGAAAACCGAATACAAAGTGTGGAAATATGAGACCTATTAGTCTCATAAACACAGATACAAAAATAATATGTAAAATCTTGGCAAAAAGACTAGAGACTGTACTTCCGGGCATTGTGGGTGATAATCAGAACGGGTTCATTAAGAATAAGCAGGGATTTTACAACGTAAGACGTGTTAAATATTGTGCATAGCCAAAAAGAGGAAAAGGATACTGCTCTTCTCTTGCTCGACGTGGAGAAGGCTTTCGATAGGATCGAATGGGCTTATCTGTTCGACGTTCTCATAAAATTCGAATTTGGAAATTCCTTTTTACATTGGATCAAATCATTACATTCCAACCCAATGGCTGAAGTTTTAACCAATGAGATGATTTCTGAGCCATTTAATATTACAAGAGGTTGCCCCGAAGGCTCACCATTGCCCCCACTTTTATTCATCTTGGTTATAGAACCACTAGCAATAGCCGTAAGAGCTAACAACCATATACAAGGGATTAAAATGGGTGGCAAGGAACATAAAATAGCTTTATTCGCTGATGACGGTGTTATTTCTAAAACAATTAAACACCTCTCTCCAAGCACTTTTAGACCTGATCAAACAATTCGGAAACATATCGGGATATAAAGTGAATACATCAAAGTCATCATTATTGCTGCTTGATAAAGATAGCTGTTTAAATACATCACATTTATTTACCTTGAAAATATCACCCAGCTTTACATATTTGGGTATCAAAAATGTCCCACAATTAGAAAATATAATTTCTACAAATTATAATGTTATAATGGAATCAACATCTAAAGATCTGGAGAGATGGTTATCTTCACCAATTTCATTGATAGGAAGAATAAATATATTGAAGATGAATATTTTGCCTAAATTCATGTATTTATTCCAAAATATCCCCTTGGCGCCACCAGCTGGAGTGTTCTCAAAGATTAATTCATTATTCAGAAAATTTATTTGGAACAACAAATGCCCTCGAGTTCGTCTTTCTCTTCTTTATCTTCCATTTGACACTGGAGGGTTAATATGTCCCAACCTGTACTGGTACTATTTAGCTGCACAATTAAGAACAATAATGTTTTATTTTTCCTCCGGAAATAAACTATCCTGGGTGGATATGGAGTCATGTGATTTTGCGTTACCCTTAAATTTGTATATATATTCAGATCATTTTAAACAACTAAAAACAGTCACCACGCACCCCATAGTTTGTAACATGATTGGAGTATGGTATGAAGTTAGAGAGTACATGAAAATAGCTGACTCTTTATCCCAGTATAGCCCCATTTGGGGCAACGCATTATTCAAACCAGCCAGGTACAAAGGACTCAGGATTCCGGTTGTGGGTTGAAAAGGAATTAAGCAAAATTAGTGATCTATTAGAGGAGGGAACGTTGATGTTGTTTGAGCAATTATCTATTAAGTACAATATTTCAAAAAAGCATTTCTTTAAATACTTACAGATAAGGAGTTTTGTTCTTTCTAGGCAGAACCAATCAATAAACTTGCCAGTACTTTAAATTTTGGAAAAATTAATTACCAAGAATTGCAATAATAAAGGGTTAATATCAGTTTTTTACAAATGGCTTGTATCAGGGTCTACTGATTCATCAACACCAAAACTTGAAATTTGGAAGATGGGATTGAATGAGGATATATCTGAGGATAAATGGAGACAAGTCTGTAAAAATTCTCAGAAACAGTTAGGGAGCGTTAGCTTAAAACTACTTCAATATACCTGGTTGATGCAGACTTATATAACTCCTGTCAAACTAAATAGGTTTAATAAAAATATTCCTGATACATGCTTTAAATGCGAGAGGCTCAGGGTTCATGTGTGCATTGTGTTTGGGAATGCAACATTATTAGAGACTTTTGGGTGGAAGTGATTAATATTACAAAGATAATTGTACCCTTGAATATTCCACTAGATGCAAAAATGATTTTGCTACATTTATACCCAAAGAACCTTAAACTAAATCTTCAGCAGCGCAAATTAATAGATTATGCTATACTACAAGCTAAAAGAATGATCGCTGGAAAAGACCTGATCCACCATCTACTGGAACTTGGATTAATGCCATGGCACTGTGTATGGCCATTGAAAAAGTAACATATTTTATTAAAAACCAAATGGATGAATATGAAGAAATTTGGAAGCCGTTTAATTACTACATTAATAACAATAATATTGGTCATTTATTACAAGAAGTGTAACTAAGTATAGTGTTTTTATTTATTTATTTATTTTTGTGTGTGTGTTTCATTTTGTTTTGTTGGATAACGTAACTTTTATGTGTAAAGTACAGTAATGTATACTTGGTTTTTGGGTACCAAACTATATTTGTTTTGCATTTACATTTACTCTTGTAAGAGAATTCTGTGTATTTGTACAGGGGAGAAGAGAGTGATGTTCTTTTGTTGGGGTGGGAAATAATTGCGACGAAATGGAATTGTGTTTTTCTGTTACCTGTCTTGTGTAATCAAAAACAATAAACACATTGTTCAATAAAGAACGGCAGAGTCACTCGCTGTTTTCAAGAAACAACTAAAAACTCAACTATTTAGTTTCCACTTCACTTCCTAATCTGCAATTGCCTCTCTGGATATACCACTAACTGTACTCAAAAAAAAAAAAAAATTACTAATGCTTTCCTTCTTAGACTTTACAGACCTGAAACTTGCCTATAGCACTTATTCATTGTTCCTCTTGTAGTTGTGTAAATTGCTTCCTTGTCCTTATTTGTAAGTCGCTTGGGATAAAAGTGTCTGCTAAATGATAAATGTAAATGTAAATGTTGAAATTATAAAGTATGTGCGCTCTGAATGATTTTGAGATATTAAGCTTCAAAGTTTTTGCATTCCATAAAGCAAACAGTATGTGTGTAACATTTGTTTTTTTAAATAAAAAGTGTTAATGTAAACAACATAAAAAACATCCCATAATATAAATAAGTTGTCATTTAATAGGAATATGTCAATAACTCAATTTTGACAAAAATGTCAGATAGAACCTTATAATTCTAAGGTGACGAATTGGTGAAGTTTGTTCCTCACCACTGTTGCCACTGGCTTGCTTGGTTTGGGACTTGAGGAGCTGCGCATCGATGGATTTGCTTTTCAGTGTTTGGACTTTCAGCAGTGAAAATTAAACCACACTGAATTGAACTAAACCGCACTTCAACTGAAAACTGGACTGACATGGTTTCAATTTCAACTTAAACTTCTATGTTAAGCTGCTTTGACACAATCTAACCTATAAAAGCACTACAGAAATAAAGATGAATTGAATTGAATAGACTGTGCTGTATGAATTAGAGAAATGAAATCCTCAATTACCTTTAAATTACACATCGCATCCATTTCACCGACAGATTACACATAAAAGGCCACAAATCATACCTAAACCCTCACTACATCTTTTGTTTTGACATTCTCAATATACTTCTTGGATTTGTAACGAATATCTTACTCATAATTGTCTTTCCTGGCATTGTGTTTACATTTTTAAAGTATATTTTACTGTTTCTTAATAATAATGATATTAGTTGTCTATAGGTAGAAAGATATTGTGTTAGAATCACATGTCAAAAGATTTTTAATGCAAGCACTTGTCAATTCAATGCCTTTTTTTCAGTTTTTGCTATTCAACAAGCTTTTTCTGAGGCAGACCATGACAGGGACTGTTGTTTATTGTTTACGACGATACATTGTAAATGAATAAATCAATAAAAATGACCCCAAAACAGTCTAAGCGGAGTAATACTTAAAGAATATTTATAAAAAAACACGAGGCCCTGAGACGCTGTTAGATATATTCCAAAAGTGACGTCACTCAATAGAACATAAACGCTCGCATAACTTACATTTCTTACATCAGTTCAGTGATCATCCAAGCTACTGTAAGGATCATTATTTGGACGTGTTAACAGATTTTCACCAAATCTAATGGATAACGAACATCTGTCGACTTATTTTACGAGCGAACACATGAGTGAACTCGAAGACTTTCTGAGTGAAGCGACACAGCCTGTGGTTGTCCACGCGATGGCAGCAACAGTACCTGTGTTTGGTGAAGGAGTGAGCGGAGAGGTGGCTCCAGTGCTGGAAAACATGGACTTCTGCAGAAACCTCTGTTCTTGGCTGGACGAGGAATGTACTGCGGCGTCTGATGCCAGTACGACACTCGATGAGCCCTTCTCTGTTAATGTGGAGAAAACAACCGGTGAGCCTGTCAGCAAACACTCAAGTTGTGTATGGTTTAAAATAATTATAAAAACTGGGGAAAGAAAAGCTATTAGTAAATTTAAATAATGTATAAATGACAAAAGAGACGTTACATAACCCCAACCCAAAAAAATAAAAATAATAATAATAATGGGGTTTTAACAGAACATTTGTGTTTGAGGTAAATTGCCCTAAAGGGAGACTTGGGCCTAGTCAAAGCGTTAAATGCCCAGCGTTCACACACGCACTATATTCTTCGGTTTAGTCCCGAATTCATCCGCCTTTCTAGCCACAACTAAATACTCTTATTCAAACCCCCCATAAACACACACACAGACACTCAAGACTAATTTAAAAAACCCACAATATATTTCCAATTAAAACTGAAAAAGATGTTCAAACTGGACTTTTTCCTGCATATAAAACTGCGAGGTGGCCACCTCCACCAAATTTTGTACCACCTGTGCCTTTAGACAAAAAACAAGGCAGACAGACCCTAAATGATGCTCAAGCATGTTTTTTTTTTTTTAATAATGAAATGTCATGCATTTAATTGAATCAAATGTTAGCCATTTTAAATAGTTTACTTGATAAGATTACAAGAGTTATGCAAAATGTGTTTATTTCAATAACAAATGTATTACACACACAAAAATACACTACCAGTCAAAAGTTTAGGCTCAGTAGGGTTTTTAAAGGTTTTAAAATAAGCTTATCCCGCTGACCGAAGCTGCATTAATCAAAAATACAGTGCAAATTGTGAACTGTTATTGCTCTCTAATATAATGGTTCAATAAAAGTTTATTGTTTAATTTAATCATTTACTTCTGTGATTTTAAAGATGAATTGTCAGCTTCATTACTGCAGTCTTCAGAGTCACACGATCCTTCAGAAATTACTCTAATATTAATTATTATTATTAATGTAATAGTAATGAAATCAATAATGACTGGAGTAATATTTTCATTTGAAACTACATACGATAAGAGAGCAGTTATTTAAAATTGTTATAAATATTTATCGATTTAACATTTTTTTTACATTTATTAAATGCCATCTTGATGAACAGAATCATTTTCTTAAAAAACAACAACAAAAGCAAATAAAACTTTTGACTGGTAGTGTGTATATACATAATGTGTTCTGCATGTGCTAAGTTTTTAGGAATAGTCAAAATTAAATTATTGATTTTCTTTATTATCCCAACAATCATCAGAATGTTAAGATCAAGTTTCTTGAAAAAAAAAGGCCTAAAGTGAGTTTACAGTATACAACATACTTTGTAGAAATTATGTGAATTCAACTGCATAAGCCAAAATAAACGACGCTAATTAAAAGGATAAGAGTTGCCTCTCTATACAACAAAAATGATTTATTTTATTTGACAGTTTTGCATTTATGAGGAAAGAGCTTCGTTATGGATGTGACGTGTGAAATTGACACTTTGGAACTTTGGTAAATCAAATATAATAGTTTGAAAACATTGACAGACATTTTTTAAGTATGTTTAAAGTACTGTTAAATACTTGCTCACACAAACAAGCATACAAACACTGTTTTACTGTTTTGGTGAAAACTGACATTTGCATGGAATTGCTCATGGGGAGACTCAACAAATAGTAATAATGAACGTTTACAAAGTGATGTAATACTTTCGAAAATCATAAAAATCTAGAGACTGATGTGAACAGCATGATTTGTATATCAAATTCAGTGTAATGTGTGATATGACTAAAAAGTGGTCATAAATACATATTTTTCATGACTTAACAAGCAGATTTTTTCACTTGGCCTGGCCAATTTTTAAAAAATGTTTATTTAAATTTTCGTATAGAAACATATGAATATTTTCTTATATATGTCTATACATTTACTTATTGTCATGTTTCAAATATTCTCTTTTATTTTCTTTTTTTCTTTGTTCAACTAAGAAGTTCAAACAGGAGGCAGCAGGAGGAGAAGAATCCATGCTTTCTTCAAGAGAGTGTGGAAGGCCATAAAGAAGCCGTTCCTCTGCTACAGACGGAGAAGAGTGGGGACTCAAATACCACAGGGGGATCCACACACAAACGATGTAGAGATTGATTTGGATCCAGAGCCTGTGCCTAGAACTTCTGGGCTCCAGAATACTGTTGATCTGAATCCAGGTCCAAAACCTGTCCTTGGAACGTCTTGGTGCAGGAATACTTTTGATCTGAATCCAGATCCAGAACTTGTCCTTGGAACGTCTAGGTGCAAGAATACTGTTGATCTGAATCCAGATCCAGAACCTGTCCTTGGAACGTCTGGGTGCAAGAATACTGTTGATCTGAATCCAGATCCAGAACTTGTCCTTGGAACGTCTGGGTGCAAGAATACTGTTGATCTGAATCCAGATCCAGAACCTGCTCCTGGAATGTTTGGGCGGCAGTTTACTGTTGATCCGGTTCCAGATCTAGAACCTGCCCCTAGAGCATCTGGGTTGCAGTTTACTGTTAATCCGGTTCCAGATCCAGAATCTGCCCCTAGAGCGCCTGGGAGGCAGTTTACTGTTGATTTGGTTCCAGATCCAGAATCTGCCCCTAGAGCGCCTGGGAGGCAGTTTACTGTTGATTTGGTTCCAGATCCAGAATCTGCCCCTAGAGCGCCTGGGAGGCAGTTTACTGTTGATTTGGTTCCAGATCCAGAATCTGCCCCTAGAGCGCCTGGGAGGCAGTTTACTGTTGATTTGGTTCCAGATCCAGAGCCTGTCCCTAGAGCGTCTGGGTGCCAGAATTCAGTTGATCCGGTTCCAAATCCAGGGTATGAGCTTAGAAACTGCAAGAGCCAGTTTGCTATTGATATAGATTCAGATCCAGATTCAGATCCAGATTCAGAGCCTGTCCCTGGACCATCTGGGCTCCAGGACACAGCTAATGGGGAATCATCATCTGCCACAGGACCAAATAGAGGTGAGTCTGATTTCAGGACTCGGAAGTCATGTACAAGACATAAACACAAAGTGTCAAATTCAATTTTGAGACAAACAGAACTATTATAAATTCTACTGTAATATATTTGTATATATATATATATATATATATATATATATATATATATATATATATATATATATATATATATATATATATATATATATATATATATATATATATATCTGTATACTGTAATACTGTAATATATATATATCAGTGTGAGAGAATTGAAAACACTTAACCTCTTCTTTTTTTCAGTATTTATGAAGAGTCTCTACAGATTGGGAGATATTCTGGGAACTGGAAGCTTCGGCGTAACCTACAAAGCAATCCGTAAATCTGATGGCAAGGAGGTAAAACTCTTAGTGTACAATTTGCTTCTTATGTAACTTGTACCCTTAATCCAAGCTTGTCAATAATACGTGAAAAACTAATACTTGGATATTTGCTTTGCAGGTTGCCATCAAGAGGATCCGCAAGAGACACGGTGACCATTACATATCAGTAGTAAGTTTGCAAAACTTCACTCAATATTTGATTCGTTATTGGTTTGGACATTATTACTGTTGCATAGTTGAATTTTAAAAGGCAAAATCCAGTCATTTCTGAAATAATATGTTCAAGCCGAATAAAATTATGTTTAGGGCTTAGGTCTCAAACTCAATTCCTGGAGAGCCGCAGCTCTGCTCAGTTTTGCTCCAACCCTGAAAAAATATAGCTGATCCTAATAATCGAGGTGTTCAAAAGAGTCTTGAACACCTTTATTAGTGGAATCAGCTGTGTTTGATCAGGGTTGGAGCAAAACTATGCAGGGCCGGTGCGACCCTCCAGGAATCAAGTTTGAGACCTATGCTTTAGATCAGTGGTTCTCAAACTGTGGTACGTGTACCACTAGTGGTACGCGGGCTTCCTTCTAGTGGTACGCGGAGGAATCAAATATGTCATATATACATGCAAGATAAGTTTCAAAATTTATCACAAATGATTTATATATGAATATGATGACATATAGCCCATATTAATAAGGCCCAAACAACATTTCCAGGTTGACGTATAGGCTACTATATGTTAATACTTTACATATAAAAAAGCACATATAATTAAAACATTGACATTTTATTTTGGCTGTTTGTTGTTGTTGTTGTTGTTTTTTACCTGTAAGCACAATACAGTGTTAATGTTCAAAATATTTATAATGTTTAAAGCAGCTGACAATAATAAATATTCTTACTAATAGGAATTATTCTGCCTGGTTTTTAAACTGTGCAGAGCTGTAGGTGCTTAATTAGGCCTACTACGCCACTGTATTTTAATACTGGTCATTATAGTGTTACTTGGAGGGACAAATTTTTTTCTGAGGTGGTACTTAATAAAAAAAGTTTGAGAACCGCTGCTTTAGATGAAATCTGAGAGCTCCCCCATCCTCCATAGACATCAATGGTCCAGGGGCATTCAGAGACCAGAAAAGGAGCCAAAAACATTGTCAAAACAAATTTTTCCCTCCTGTACCAGGTCAGGGTGCACATTTTCTACAAGCAATTTTATTTACTGTCAGAGTCAGCGAGACGCAAGTGTCTTATTACCGGTAGTAAATGCACACCCTGACCTGATGTGGAAGAATTGGTCAAACAAAGTTTTTTACAGTTTCATAAGTGTTCTTGGAGCTTCGTATGATTACACTTGAAACTGACTTTGAGTGCCTAAGGAACGCTACTGTCTGTGGAGGATAAGGGAGCTCTCAGATTTAATCTAAAATATCTTCATTGAGAATATCTTCTCTAGGGGTTGAAATAACATGAAGGAAAGTCTAGTTGAACTTATCCATGAAATAATGGTGATCTTTCTTCACATCTACAGCTAGTAACCCTTGTTCTCTTTTTCTTTTTAGCCTGGTTATTCCAAACCAGTACTAAGAGAAGTGGC